ACACACATATTAACATAATAGGAATACGGTGACATAAACAAAGCAAATCTATAATTACCATCCATCTCCAGTGAAGCCAAGAAAACCATTTAGGCACCCTAGGCATTTGTGAAAATTTGTCTATGATATGATGGATATTGTCCAACTGTACTTGAACAGTCTGAGAGAAATCAAACAAATTAAAGCAGCCCATTTCTGGGTTCTGTTCACCTCCCATATGTCCTTTTAACCGTAGATAGTCTATAGTCATAAGATTTTGAAGTGCTACACCTTGCACCCCTCCCAACTCCTGGTTGAGTTCCAACAGTACAGATCCGGTCAAATTCGTTGTCTCACTGTATGCACATGCCAACCTAGACATCTCCCTCCTCATTCCAATGGCAAGTCCCAACTGGACCAGTTTTTTTACCCTGTATTAAGACTGTCTACCCTATGCTCTAAAATATATTTACTGAATATTTGTTAATGAATGATTTGAATTGATGAGTTGTGGCTGTTTGTCTGTAGTAGATTAACCTGTCTGTCAAAAATAGAAATCAGCATCTTAGGCATCTTCTCTGAGAACCCTGTGTCTTTTTTAGTGAGTCTAATGACTGACACAGTAAGGTGTCCGTCCCTGTCCATTGAATCAGTGAAGTGAATCTAATTAAAAAGAATCAACAATTGAGAAACTACTGTAGTAGTCCCGGTGTGAGATTAAGGTGGTAGCTTGGAGAGGATAGAAATGCCAGAGGTCCTGGACAGTTCTCCACAGGGGAAAGTAAGGGCAGGAGGCAGGTCCCAATGCTACTTAATTGTGCAGTGTGTGCTGGTCCACAGTGAGATGCCCCTTCCATCTTAAAAGATGATAAACCTGAGTTCTCAGAGGCTAAAGCAATCTGCCCATGGTTACTCAAGAGTTAAGTGGCAGGGCCTGAATTCAAGCATTGTCTGTATGATTCTAAGAAAGTACCTTCTTTCTACTAACTTGTACAGACTGAATAACCACCTTCCCATCCCTCTAAGCCTGTGTGATTTCTCCCCACTTTTCTAATTGGTGTCAGTGGATTGAATTTCAGGTAGCTTCTGAATTAAGCAAAGGTGTCTCTCTTTGTAGGGAGCTTTACTAAGTGGTCCAAAGCTTAAAGATTTGGTAGTTGAAGATACAGATTAGGGAGTGTTTAATATGAAGGTAATAACTGAAACTGTTATAGTGGATAAGCTACCAGAAGATAAGAATTTATAGGGAAATTCTGCTTTTACTGAAAACAGAATCTGGGATCTCCCCAAGTGTTTAAATCTGTCAGAACCCAGAGGACTATCAGGGATGCACACGCACACACACACACACACACACACACACACACACACACATACATACATACATACATACATATTCATATATATATATATTTTTTTAGTTTTCAGCATTCAATATGCATATATGTCAGATAAATTAAAAATTACAGGTTTTTGAAGTTTTCCCTTGTTAAACCATTTTATTATGGCTATTTTCATTTTTTAGAAAAATGAATCACCTACTTTTTCTAACCCATTTATATTTCACCTTTTTAAGACCACTGCTGTTGTTGAATTATTCAGAGAACTAAGGACTATTTTAGAAGAGAGTATTCTGCCTCTCTTGAATAATGAAGACAGTTACCTTTCCCATGTTGTGAGTGCATCTGTTTGCTGGCCCAGATGAGGCACAAATGCTTCAGTGCCCCTTCAAGGGGTATAGATTGTAGATAATAGTGTGTCATTTGTGGGATATTGGGTACATTCATAGGAACATTTACCACAGTTTATTTTCTTATGTAGTTATTACTTGGACTCATAAATCTTATTTCATTGTGTTTGAAAACTTAGGTAATAATTTCAAGATGCCAGCACGTTCCAGTTCGAATTCATGTTCAACTGGTTTTATATCCTTCAGTGGTATAGAATCTGCTCTCTCCTCGTTGAAAAACTTCCAATCCTGTATCAGCTCCGGAATGGACACAGCCTCTAGTGTTGCTCTGGATCTAGTCGAAACTCAAAGTAAGTAATAATTAAAATATTCTTTTGTGTCTACTTTGAGGTGACCTTGTGTGGAGGCATTACTCTGGGGATGTGAGATACTGCTTCCCTTAGGAATGTCCTTGAGACATTTGCTTAATCCCTCTGGCATCTGTTTTCCCATCTTGTTCTACGTGCCACATAGCGATGCACTGAGAATGAAATGAAATTGACTCATTCATGAGTGTTCCTACAGTTATGTGCCACTAGAAATTGCACTAGAAATATACAGGCTAAAATATGAAGGTTCCTGGCCTCAAGCAGCATACAATATAAAGTATGTGACACTATGAACTATGAGGTATGTAAATACATTATGATCAAGTTATTTTACAGTAATTTAAATGTACTTTGTTCATGCTTGATTACTCAATAGACAAAGTTTACATTAGGGGTACCAGCAGAAGAAGACCTACAAAAGCAGAAAGTTCAGCTTTGGTGAAGTCTATTAAAATTTTTCAGTCAAAAGATCTTGAAAGATGTTGCTTGATTTCTTCTGATTAGAGTTGTTTTTACTTTATATTATATATGGAGACAGGAGAACATTATAATATTTTTGGGTTGTTTTTAATATCACTGTTTTATTTGCAATTTGATTGTGATGTGTCTTGGTGTGATTTTTTTGTTGTTTTAATTATGTTTGGTGTTTTTTAAGCTTTATGGATTTCTGGGCTTATAGTTTTGATCAAATTTGGAAAAATTTCTGCTTCTATTTCTTCAAGTACTTTTTCTGTTCATCCTCTCCCCTGTCTTACTGGGACTTCAGTTACATGTATGTTAGACTGCTTGATTTTGTCCTATAAATCACTGGGGTTCAGTTGATTTTTCTTCCAGTCTTTTTTCTCTCTAGCTTTGGTTTAAAAGTGTCTGTTGCTGTGTCTTCAAGTTCATTAGTCTTATCTACTGTAGTGGCTAATCTGTTGTTGATTCTATCCAGTGAATTTTAAATTTCAGATACTGGTTTTCAGCTATAGAACATATAAAAAAGAATTGAATGAAATCTTACTTCTGTCTTCTATTTCTCTCTTCAGTATGTTCCTGTTTTCTATATTCTTGAGTATATGAAGCATATTTATAATAGTTGTTTTAATATCCTTGTCTGCTGATTATATAACCTCTGTTGCTGCTTCTTCACATGGTTATTGTGTTGTTGAATGTTTGGATTTTGTTGTCTTCCTCTGAAGAGTTTTGACCTTTGTTTTGGCAGGCATCTAAGTACATGTGGATTAGGCCGATCCTTTCCAGGCCTGTTGTTAAACTTTGTTAGGGTGGGTGTAGTGTAGCATTACTTTAGGGCTAATTTAACCTTGTCACAAAGCTTGGCCTTTCTGGAGTCTCTTGGTTGCCCAGAATATTCAGTTAGATAGCTCTACTCTGCTGGATGGAATTTGAATGTCTTGCAGTCCTGCAGGAATTCCAGGAATTATTCACATTAGAGCTCACAGGAGTTGTTCCTCAGCAGTTTAGGATTTAGCATCAGAGGCAAAGGGATCTCTGTGCAGATTCCTAGAGCACTTTTTCTGCATAACTCTCTCTCAGCGCTCTGTCATGGAAACCCCTGTTGCCTCAGCCTGTTGCCATCAGTACATCTCCTGGGTCCTTCAAGACTTCGGTGCTGTGCGATTGCAGGGCTTACTGTAGTTGTTTCCCATTTTGCAGGACTCACAGTTCTACTCTGCCTATTGTCCCACTTTCTGAAAGTGCTGTTTCATATATTTTGTCCAGCTTTCTAGTTGTTTATGGTAGGAAGGCCAGTTCTATACCAGTTATTCTTTCATGGCCAGCAGCAGAAGTCACCAAAAATCTTTAGTGGGTGGCTTCTAAAGATCTTAACCCTGCGCAGCCTGGTTTGTAGCCTACTTTTGGGTATTTGGCTTTGGTAGGTAGCCCTGGACAAAAGTCATAATAAAATCTTCAACCATAAGAGAGATGACCTGGAACATAAACCTCCTGGTAGACTGTATCAGGATTTGCTTTGAAGGCTTCTGAGTGGTTTTGCTACAAAGTTCCTTTTTTCCCTTTTGTTTTATTTTTTTTAAAAAGTATATGGTGCAAGATATAACGTACTCTGTGTAATTTAAAAAGAAATGTAAGCATCCGTTTTTGAAAGGTTCATGCTCTAAAGCAGCAGTTGGCAAATGTTTTCTCTGAGGGGTCAGATAGCAAGTATTTTCAGCTCTGTAGGCCAGGCAGTCTCTGTTGCAACTACTCTGTTGAATCTTTTACAGTTATTAAATTTTGACCACATGAACCGCATGAAAGAGTCTCAGAAACTTCTGGTTATGAAGTTGAATTTGAGTACTTATGAGCAGGAGTTAGATGACATGGGAAATTCCCTACAGAGAGAATGTTTAGGATGACCACCACTGGAGTAATTGAGCAAGAGCTTGTTAGGAGAGCAGTTTTTTTTTTTTTTTTTCAAAACAATGTTAATATTTCAGTTTATTTCTATTTTAAACTTGTATTTTTACATAGTGATTTGTAATTAAGTAATTAAATAATTTGTATCCTATTTCTTTTTTTCTTAATGCCTTTTTCTTTTTGGATATAGGTAAATTAAAAACCATCTGAAATCTGTAGGCAGGTCCCTTCTTGCTTTTCTACCCTTTTTAAAAATTTACTTATTTTTAATTGAAGTATAGTTGATATGCAATATTAAATAAGTTTCAGGTGTATAGCATAGTGATTTGGCATTTATATACATTACGAAATGATAACCAGGATAAGTGTAGTTAGCATTGGTCACCATACAAAATTAATATTTTCAACTACACTCCCTATGGTGTACTTTACATCCCTATGACTTATTTATTCTATAACTGGAAGTTTGTACCTCTTAATACCCTTTAACTATTTCACCCATCCTGTGTACCCCTTTCTTCCCAAGAAACCACCAGTTTTTCTCTGCTTATGAATCTGTTTCTGTTCTATTTTGTTTGTTTTATTTTTAGATTCCACATATAACCAAAATCATGTGATGTTTATCTTTCTCTGTCTTATTTCACTTAGAATAATACCCTTAGGTCTATCCATGTTGTTACAAATAGCAAGATTTCATTCTTCTTCATGGCTGAGTAATATTCCATAGTATATATGCCACATCTTCTTTATCCATTCATCTATCAACAGATACTTAGGTTGCTTTTATATCTTCATTTTTGTAGCTAATGCTGTGATAAACATTTATCTTTTCAAATTAGTGTTTTCATGTTCTTTGGATAAATACTCTGCATGGAATTACTCAATTGTATGGTATTCTATTTGCTGTTTTTCCACACTGCTTTCCACAATGGGTCTGCACTAATTTACACTGCCAACAAACATGCACCAGGGTTCCCCTTTCTCCACATCCTTGCCGACACTTGTTATTTCTTGTATTTTTGATACTAGCCATTCTGATTGGTATGAGATGATACTTCATTGTGGTTTTTATTTGTAGTCCCTGATGATTAGTGATGTTGAGCATCTTTTCATGTGTCTTTGGCCATCTGTATGTCTTCTTTGAAAGAATGCCTATTCAGAACTTCTGCCCATTTTCTAACTGGATTGTGTTTTTGGTGTTGAGTTGTATGAGTTCTTAAATATTTTGACTATTAACCCCTTATCAGATACATTATTTGCATATATATTCTCTCCTCTAGTAGATTCCCTTTTCTTTTGTTGGTAGTTTTACTTTGCAAAGATTTTTAGTTTCACGTAGTCGCAATTGTTAATTTTTGCTTTTGTTGTCATTGCTTGAGGAGACATATCCAAAAAGTATTGCTAAGACCAATGTCTAAGAGTTTACTGCCTATCTTTTCTTTCAGGAGTTTTATGATTTAGGGTATACATTTAAGTCTTTAATCCATTTTGAGTTTACTTTTGTATATGGTATAAAATAGTGGTCCTGTTTCATTGTTTTGCATGTAACTGCCCACTTTTACCAATACTATTTATTAAAGAGACTGTCTTTTCCTTATTGTGTATTCATGCTTCCCTTGTCACAGATTAATTGACCATATAAGTTGGGTTTACTTCTGTGCTTTCTATTCTGTTTCATTGACCTATTAGTCTACTTTGGGCTAGTACCATACTGTTTTGATTACTATAACTTTGTGGTATAGTTTGAAATCTGGGATAGTTGTATTTACAGCTTTGTTCTTTGTTGAGATTGCTTTGGCTATTTGGGGTCTTTTTTTTGTTTCATACAAATCTTAAGATTATTTGTTCTAGCTCTGTGAAAAATGCTGTTGGTATTTTGATGGTTACTATATTGACTTTACATTGCTTTTGGTATTACAGACATTTTAACAATATTAATTGTTAAATCCAGTGAACATACTATATCTTTCCATTTATTTGAGTCATCTTTAATTTTTTTATCATTGTCTTATACTTTTCAATGTACAGGTCTTTCACCTTATTCCTAGGTATTTTACTCTTTTTGATGTAGATGTAAATGGGATTGTTTTCTTAATTTCTCTTTCTGCTAGTTCATTATTACCATATAGAAACAGTAGATTTCTATATATTGATTTTGTATACTAATGTATGTTGTATTTTGTGTGATAGTAAAATAATAAAAAACATTGCATGATATTTGTGTATTGATTTTGAACTTTACTGAATTCATTTGTTGGTTCTAATAATTTTTTGGTGGAGTAATTAGGGTTTTCTGTATATAGTATATCATCTACAAATAGTGACAATTTTACTTCTTATTTATATCAATTTAGATTCCTTTTATTTCTTTTTCTTACCTGATTGCTGTGGGTAGGATTTCTAGTACTGCATTGAATAAAAGTATGAGAGTGGACATCTTGTCTTGTTTCTGCCCTTAGAGGAAAAGCTTTCAGTTTTTCATTCTAAAGTATGATGTTAAATGTGGGTTTGTCACATATGGCTTTTGTTATGTTATGGTGTGTTCCCTCTGTGCCCACTTTGTTAAGAATTTTTATCAGGGATGAATGTTGAATTTTGTCAAATGCTTTTTCTTTCTCTGT